ACCCCCTCGGCCACGAAAGGAATTTTTGAGTTGTGGCTGGTACCTGGACCTGTCTCTATAACCTGTCCTGTCCAGTGAACGCTCCTGTTCGGGAGCGACCGGTCGGTACGGTTGTGCCGACTCTGTTGCTGTCCCTGCCCGAAAGGGCTGCTGGCGACTGTAAGGGGTGAACCGTCTTGTGGACCTCTTTGCCACGTGGGAGATCACCTTTTGCTTCTGTTTATTTTCAACTAAGTACGGTGTTAGTGCATCCCCAAATAATTTGCCACCTTTGAAAGGGGCTGTGGCCGCGCGCCACTTATGCTTACTTTCGGCCCTCCAATTTTTTAGCCACAGGAGTCTCCTAGCTACCACGTTGGAAGCCATAGCCCGGGCTGAATGTTTGGCTGAATATAGAGAGGCATTGGCCATATATTCGGATGTGGCAAGTATTTTTGTTAGATCCTGATGCATTCTAGTTTCCTCAAGTGGGATTCTATCCTGCAGCTGATGCAGCCAGGTGATAGAGATTCTTGCAAAGAAGGAAGTGGCCGTCGCTGCCTTCACAGCCCAGGCAGATGCCAAGTGCGCTTTGCGTAAGGCCATTTCAGATTTTTTTTTTCTTCTGCCTTAAGGGCATCGGATACATCAGCTGGAAGGCTGGCAGTGGAGAAAAGCGGTGCCAGCGATTCATCCACTTTTGGGACCTCTAGTAGGTCTCCGAATGCCTTAGGCATGTCTACCATTTTGCGCTCAGACGCGTTTTGAGATGGCTGGGCTGCTGGTGATTCCCACTGATCCTGCACATTTTGGAAGAACAGCTGTGGACAAGGGATATGGAGGTGCGTGTCTACAGGCACAGCAAACAAAGGATTGGTTTCCTGATCGGAGGAAGGCTGAGGGGTTGGTACCGACTGAGGGGAAAGCTTACTTGCCTCGCACGCTCTGCGTAACAAAGCCGGAAATAGCGAAGCATTAAAAAGCTCCGCCATGGGTTGGGATTCGTAAGATGGTTCCTCGCAATCCGACCAACCATCCTTGCCTCCCCTGTAATCTGAAACATCCGGGTCCGAATCAGGGGATTGGGAGGGAGAGACCATACCTGACTGATCCAGTGGAGGCCTCACGGCAGTTGTTGGTGCCTAAGAAGAGGATGGTCCTGGAACGGAGGGGGCTTGTTGATGACTCGCTGATGCCATAGCTTGGCACACTGCCTGTGATATCCACATTTGGAGCTGGTCGGAGACGGACTGCTCTAGCGGAAGCCTTAACCCTGCAGCAGGTGGTGTGCTGGCAGCAGTGGGTGCTGCAGATGAACCTGGCAAGGCAAAGTTCTCCCCAAACACGGGTGGGCCTACCTGACCAAGAGTCCGAGTTGGGACCTGTTGATACCCCGTCTCCGGCGACCATACTCTGGATGTGGATGGTTGAGGCTGTCCCCTGTCCGGTGGTATGGAGGTTGGCAATGTGAGACCTCCTTCAGCAGACGAGCGTTGGGCCCGGGAGAATTGCTTCTCCAGAACTCTGTGGGTGCGTTCAGCCAGTTTGTCGCTCGCCGTGCCAGCTTTCCTGCCGTGCTTAGACTTGGATCTCGCCTTACCTGATGGAGGCTCGGGTGTCGGCTCAGTTGAGGCGGGAATGACGTCCATGTCCAAGGAACGTCCAAGGTCTGCCATTTCCATCGAAATCAACCCAAGGTTGCCTTTGGCCTGATTCGTTCTGCAAGGGACGTCAGAGGCCCCCGCGGGGGACTGACCTACGTGGATTGGGTGGAGAAGAATCACACGTGTCCCAGTAGTGGCGATGGTCAGGATGCTGGAACAGCCACCAGATGCAGAAGGGCAGACAGGCAATATGGCGACCAGGCTGAAGAACCAGAGCTGCTGTTGGTACCACACTCTTGCTCACAGGTGCATGGATCAGGAGATGGCTGAAACTGAGACTAGATGAAGGAGCCAGCAATTTTGTTAATCAATCTAGTTTAATACAATTAACATTTGTAGTTCACCCCTGTTATTGCATTCAATTTAGATTTATTTATTTATTATTTATTTATTTTATTTTATTTATTTATTTTATTATTATTATTTTTAATTCAAAATGGCGACTGCCAGGGGGAATGAGCCTCCAAATGGCAGGCTCTGTGAACGTTCCCTTGGAGGGAATACCAGGAGGGAGGGGGGTAAAGAAGGGGGGGTGTGAGGGATTAATGCTGCACTGCAAGGGGCCAGTGACTGCCACAAACGAAGCTAATTGGAATCTGCTTTGGCCCGAGAAGCAGGGATTTGTGCCTAATAGCCGTTAGGTGCAAAAAGCTTTACTGCTGCCCCACGAGGCTCCTAATGCTTCCACAGTGGCTTTAGATGATTGTAAGGCCACTGTTGGGCTTTCCTTTGTTGCAGCAGTAAAAAAGGTGTTTAGAAGTGAGATTAGGCCTTTTGAAATTCAAATGGCTGCTGCTAAGAGTCCCTAGCCGAGCCCGGCTAGGGAGAAGCCACGAGGCTGCAAAACTGAAAGCAGCAAGGAAAGGAACCAAGCACGTGAAACTGAGATCTTTTTTTTTTTTTAACAACACCTTTGAAATGCGTATGGATTAAACCTCCCCCCCCCCCACTGCGTAGGGTGAGGTTTGTTTGCTGATTCAGCAGGATACTGAATCTGGGGAAGTGAAAAATCCACCCCCCCTTTCCTTAGAAAGTTTTAACCTAACCCTGAGGAGGGGAATGCAGCAAATCCTTACAGAGGGGAAAACAAACTCTCAACTAAGCTGCTAAACTCTTTTAAAGAATCCACCAATGAGTAAATTTTCTATCAGACCTGCTCCAACGTAGAGAGAGTCAAGAAATCACGTCTGTAATGGGCGAAGACCAAGAAGAAAACTGGGAGGTCCCCAGATAATGAGGAGGCGTGACAACTTGACAACTTGGTCTGATTGGGCAGTAGGACTATGATAACCCATTGGTGTATTCTTCTTAATCATGCTGGAGAACCACATCAGCTCTTTTCCAATCCTTTGGCAGTTGCTCAATGTTCCAGGATTTTTGAAAAATATGGTACAGTGGTTCTGAGATGACATCTACCAGCTCCTTCAGAACTCTGGGACATAATCCATCAAGCCCGGATGATTTATGTTCATCAAGATCAGACAGGTGTTTTTGTTTATTTTAATTTTTATTTCTAGTCTGTTCTTTTTCAGTTATGTTTTTGGTAGATTGAGCTATAATTCCTTTTTGTGTGAAGACCAATGCAAAGAATAAGTCAAGCAGCTCTGCTTTCTCTCCGCTGCCTGTTACTCTTGCCATCTTCTCTCTTTAATGGACCAACTGTTTCCTTGATTTTTTTCTTATTTATATGCTGAAAGAAACTTTTTTTTAAATTATCTTTGACTTTTGCTGAAAGTCTTTGTTCATTCTGACCCTTTGCTTTCCTGACTTCTTTGCAGATTCTGGCAGGAATAGCCAACACTCCAGAAGATAGGCTTAAGATAAAGAAGGATCTTGACAGACGTGAACATTGGGCGCTATCTAACAAAATGAAATTGATTGATGAAAAAAGTAAGGTTCTACATTTAGGCAAGAAAAACCAAATGCATAGGTTCAGTATAGGTGATTATTATTGGTCGTTGTCCGACCCATCGTGACCCCATGGACAACGTTCCTCCAGGCCTTCCTGTCCTCTGCCATCTTCTGGAGTCCATTTAAGCTCACGCCTACTACCTTGCTCAATAGTAGCAACTGTGAGAGGGATCTTGGAGTCCTAGTGGACAATCACTTAAATATGAGCCAGCAGTGTGCTACAGCTGCCAAAATAGCCAATACAATCCTAGGCTGCATTAACAGGGATAGAATCAAGATCATCTGAAGTGTTACTATCACTCTGTAATGCCTTGGTAAGGCCACACTTGGAATATTGCATCCAGTTTTGGTCAACATGATGTAAAAAAAATGTTGAGATTCTAGAAAGAATATAGAGAAGAGCAACAAAGGATCAGAGGACTAGAGGCTAAAACATATAATAAATAGTTGCTGAAATTGGGTATTTCTAGTTTAATAAAGAGAAGGACTAGTGGTGACATGCTATCAGTGTTCCAATATCTCAGGGGTTGCCACAAAGAAGAGGGAGTCAAGCTATTCTCCAGAGCACCTGAAGGCAGGACAAGAAGCAATGGATGGAAACTAATCAAGGAGAGAAGCAACCTAGAACTAAGGAGAAATTTCCTGACAGTTAGAACAATTAATCAGTGGAACAACTTGTCTCCATAATGTTGTGAATGCTCCAACACTGGAAGTTTTTAAGAAGAGACTGGACAGCCATTTGTCTGAAATGGTATAGGGTTTCCTGCCTGAGCAGGGGGTTGGACTAGAAGATCTTCAAGGTCCCTTACAACTCTTTAATTATTGTTATCTTATCCACAGGCAAAATATTTTTAATTAGGTATATTACAATACACATTATGTTATCTGTCTGATTCAAATGTTTTTGTTTTTAATTTATTATTTTAATGGCCCTTTAAATGGCGATTATCAGAAAAAAATGGATATAAATTAAATACATGCATGAAAAATGGGTCATTATACCAGCAAGGGCAAAACTATAGTACATATTCAAATGTGAAACATGTATCCAAAGTATTTAAAGAAGAAATGTCTTTTAACAATTAATTACTATAAGATCATCCTCTTACTCTTTCCTACTTTTGTTTAAATAAAGAGTTCACTTTATATTTCAGAATTGTGAGGATTATTCCAGGAAAAGGAAACCCGCATCTTATTTTAAATACAGAAGAAAAATGAGACAAAATGAGCTTTAAATTTTCTCTCATATGCATTGGTTTTCAACTGTACATCTCTGTTGCTATATTGCCAGAATAACCACACTTCATGAGACATGAAGGGTGGGTGTGCATGTGAAAGTGAAAATAAACAGCCATATAGGAGACTGGCTAACTGTAGGGGAAAACCCAACTACTGTTGTGTGACACTCACTGTGATATAAGACAGAAAGAAATACAGTATACTTACAACAGCTGAAAACAAAATGAATGAGATAAATCCAAGAAGTAAGCCACAGTGCAGAAAACATCTCCTAAAGAAATGAAAATACATTTAAACTTGTGTTGATTACACACACACACACACACACACACATCATACCTTAACGACCCTATAAACTAAACAGGTTGGACCTGTTAAATATTTGAACAGGAAACACCAGGGAATCATAGGACTAGTGGTTGTGGGGGGTATTTTTTTTTGGGGGGGAGGAGATTGCAAGAAAACAACCAAGCTCAGAGAGCATCAAGGACTCCACACCTCAACCCTGAGCTACAAATATTATCTTCTATCAGTAACTAACTCTGCTCACCTCCTATATGACTAACCATACTACTTTACCATTTGAAAATGATGCGGGCAGAGATATTCTATTAATATTCTTTCAATTAACTACTGCATCATATTGGGCATATGCAACAAAATAAGAGTGTCATAGATTTATTTGCACATTCACAAGAGAAAGTAATACTACAGGTTAGTTGGCCCTAGGGTATTTAGGGCTTTAAAGATTGTATCGATGCTAAATGAAGGTGTCCCAGTAATGGGAAAGTTCAAACCAAATAACTACTTTCATGTTACCTACTTCACAGGACTAAGAGGACAAAATGTAGCCAAACTAGAGAAAAAGCCATTTGCAAAAGTCAAGGTAAACTCTGTACTACTACATCATTATCAATATTTGCACTCTGGACTTCCAGTTGGGATTTCCTGGCGATGCAGACGCTTGAGGACGAGGCTCCATCTCTTGCGTCTGATTTCCCCCTGTTGGGGGACCCTGGAAAGGGTCGAAAGAGGGGATGCTTGTTGATCATGGGGGGTGGGGGGTGGCAGCCCCTGTTTAATCTGAGGAAGCCCTCCAAACTGGTGGGGGAAAGACTGGCTGCATTCTTGTAGCTGGCCCTAAGCTGCAGACTACAGAAGTCAACAAGCACTACGAAGCATTTTTACAGCAACGTGGATGAAACTGGGTGAGACCTGATCCTTTTTTTATGATCTTGAGACCTCTTCCTGAAAAGCTGCGCAAAGCACTTCCCCCGATGAAAGAGGGAAAGGGAATTTTTGCCCCACTCCCTCAGAAAAGAAAAGCTGCAAATTAATACTTGGGATACTGGCGAACCTATAAGATTCAACTGGAACTAAAATATACTTACAGTTTGAAAATTTGGGGACTAAAAGTGTTTTTAAGACCTTTTTATTTTTATTTCCTCTAAAGAAAAAGACTTCAAAAGTTTAACACTATGTTTTGGATTTAAAAACCAGAAAGTGGCATTGATGACATCTAGTGGTGAATTACGGCACCACAACTTATTTATGCCTAAAAGAAATCTGGCTTAAAGCCCAGAATTAGATAAGATTTTGACTAGCCTTGGGATTATTTTATTATTAAAAAGTACAGTTGAGAAAAAAAAGGAACAGGCTTGGGGGCTGCTTACCGATGTGGCAGAGATGATACACATTTTAAACTTGGTCTGTCTGAATTTTGAACATAAATACTGACTTCCAGAACTGTATTGTGGATTTATTTATTTCTTTATTGTAGAAGAAATAGATGGAACACTTTGGATTATAAATTTTGGCTGTTAAACAGCACTCAATGATTCTTTTTTTCTCCCTGGACAGAAAGGATATATTTCTTATTGGACAGAAAAAAATTGAACTTATATCTGCTTAGGGGAGATTCGGGAACAGACAGTCGGTTAGATAAATCTATAAAGGCTACTATAGATATAAAATACAACAAAATAAAATGGATATTTCAGACTCAGCATTAAATAGTAAAACATCATCTTTAACATCTGTTCCCAGCAGCCTTAACTTGTCATATCACTAAGAAAATATTGATGAAACATAGAAAGAAATACTCTCCATGCTGAAATCAATACAAAAAACAATTATTCTAGCTTGTGAACAGGTTACTCATAACACAAAAGAGATAAAAGAACAACTCTCTAACTCAAATCTACAAACTCAGAAGACAACTACAGAGAAGGAACCAGCAACCCAGAAAATAGAAGGAAAACTAGAGAATGCCGATGCAAACATTGATGATTTAAAGGAGGAAATATATTTCAGACTCAGATAAATGAAAACTCAGAAGATATAACGATAATATTGGAAATAGAAAAGACTTTTTATAAACCAAGGTGTCAGAACATACTGGATAATAAGAAAGGAGAGCTGATGGAATGGAAGATAAAATCATTAACAGAACTGTGGAGAAGCAGAGAAGAATATCAATGGGCTAGCTCTTCTAAAAGCATTTTAACCAAATTGTTTTTCTTGTTCCAAATAATATATATAAAAATAGAGGAAGAATTTTTTGATGACCTAAATGCACTAACTTGGAAAATTAGTTGGCAAAGAAAGAAAGCTAGAGTAAGACTGAAGGAAACAGAAGCTTTGACCTATTAGAGGGGATGCTATATTATTGATTAGAGGTTTGAATATGGTTAAGAATAGGTCGTTAGAAATAGAAGTATCATCATAACCAGACAGTTAAGTTTGTAATCAGAATATTATATCTTGGTATGAAAAGGGAAATAAGATTATGGTTAAGAACTTTGAATAAGGGATTCATTTGGTTACCCAAATAGAACTTGTTTGAAATTATAAATGATTGGATACTTTGAACATGGATGAGAAATTAAAATTGAAAAAAAAAGCAAAAATAGAACATGGACTAAATATGTGGAAATTCAATGCAAATGCAATTAAGATATGTTTTGGCTAGGAAAGATATTTTAAACTGATACTGATATGATTAGAAAAATGTAATAAATGTTGATATGCAATTGGATGTTTTCTAACAATAATAAGAATTGTATTTGCCTAATGCGAAAAATTGTTATTACCAGAGGAAGAGAGGATGTATTGGCAGGTGTAACATTGGACTTAGTTGGAAAAACTTATATGCATCACTGAATTATTGATGAACTCAGTCACCACATTGTTTATGGAGCACTTATTTGTGAAAATAGAAAATCAATAAAATATTTATTTAAAAAAAATATTTGCACTCTGAATCTGGGAGATTTTCATGGAGATCTCTCATAAAAAAAACAGTCCAAGAAGTTCTTTTTCAATAAGTAGTAGTGAAACTTTTCATCAACCCAACATCTGATAGGAAAAACATTCTGTTGAGCATGGACCTTTAAGGAAATTTCTGACTTTTTTTGATAACAAGTTCCTTCTTTAGAAAAAGGCACAAGAAGATTGAATATATAACATTGGAATTTTCAATGTACTGTAAATAAAAACTAAAATGTGTGGTTGGATGCTTATCCTGGAATTTAAGAAATTAATGAACTCAGTGTAGTAATAAGCAGAATTGTAAGATTGGAGAAGCTAATGAGAAAAGGCTCTCCAGATGTGTAGAGAGGGTCAATAAAATGAAGGTCAATAAAAGCACAACTGAAAACAAAACAAAAACTGAAGTATCTGTACAAAAAAACTAATGAGGTAGTGGGAAAAAAACCAAAAGAAGACACAGAAATAACCTGGAACTCTAGAGATGGTGTCAGAATGTTGAAAGAAGTTCTTTAAATATGCTAAAACTAAATATTGGAAATATTATTCCAGTTGCTCAACAGTGGTAGCAAAACATAAATATATAAATATAACAGAGAAAAGACAGATATACTGAATTTTGCCTTGAGCTGCTACAAAATCAGCAACAACTTTATTACAGTTTTAGTCCAGAACCGAAATGTTACAAAACAACTTAGCATATGTCAACTACTGTATTCTAGACATAGTTCAATAGATTTTAAAAAATAACAGAATATATACATTAACTAGAAAAGCAAAAGGAATACTGGTTTCCTGCAAGGATGCATCAATATAAATTTCAGCAGTAAATAATGTTTTGGATTCATTGATCTACATGACTCCTTCTTAATGCAAATTTTTGGTGTGTCAAAGAATATACAGAATTGGTATAAAACAGAAAGATTCAGTGACTTATTTTTGACAAAAAAAAAAACCCATAGAGAATCCAAGAGTAAGCATAAGTTAACAGGAACACACTCCTTTGTGAAAGAATGTGGGTGAAATCCAATTCCTTAGCTAAAACTTAAAGGATGATTTTAAAAAAAAAAATCCGGGAAGGCATCAGAGGAAAAGTGTTGTAACAATGGAAAAATTTAATTACTCTCATAGTTATCAGAAAAGGACTGTTGGTCACTACAAAGATACAGTAAGTAGTTGTGGTCTGATGCAAAAGTTATTACCTAATCAAGAATAATCACACCAGTGCACTTAAATCTAATACCTCTGGAGAAAATTGTCCAGATGGAGAAGATTTATTATAATGAAGAAATTAAAAATGAAGATCAATCTATAATCATCTATAATTTAAAAGCAAAATGATTAAAAAATTCAGCTAGTATACTACAGATTAGGAACAAGTCCAGAAAAATAACCTAAATAGTATTTGTGTTTCAGAAGGTTTATGCTGATTCCCCTTTTTTAGGAAATGCTTCATTTCTGCAAAGTCTTCCTATATATGATAAAACTAAAAACTAAATACTACCTAGATTTTTTTTATGTTTCTTACATTCATAATCTCTTTCACTATAGTATTTGTCATGCATATGAGTACAGTAGCTATTTCTTTTCCATGTTTGTTTGTGTTTTAGATTTTTTTCATCCCCTCTATATTATTTTTATAAATGTAGCAGAGCTGGGGGGAGATTGGGGCCAGCTGAGAGCCTTTGCTGGAGTCCTGCCGATCTGGCAGGGAAATGAGGAGCTCCGGCAGTTGCTGTTGGTCTGGCAGTGGGATGTGGCCCTTGGGAGGGATCAAAAAGGAGGAAGAGGTTGATTGAAGGGAAGAAAAAGGAACGGAAGATGGCGATTCTTGGACGTCAGGTGGAGCAAGCAGGACAAAAAGGGAGAGAGGGAGGGAGGGAGGGAGAGGGAGGGAGAGAGAGAGAGAGAGAGAAGCTTGCTTGAGTTTTTTTATGTTAAGAGCTAGCCAGGCAAAGAGAGAGAAGAGTAAGAAAGTGGGATTTTTTTTTATTAAAAGTTTTAAAGATTTTATACAATTTATACCCCAAATCCCTCCCCCCTCCCCCCTCCCCCACTTCCCAGAGCTGATTACAGGGTTACAAATAAACAATCATAATCTAACATACATTACCCAACTATACAAACAATCAAATCCATAACATACTTTAACTCCTTTTCAAAATAAATATTAACAAATTAAATACAAAAATAATAATATAATTAAACCATAAAACTAAAACTAATATAAATTCTACCACATTAAACTATTAATAATAATCTAAAATTTACTCATACGCTAAATAATACTTTTTAGTCTCATATTTATTCTGAATATAATCTATCCATCTTCTCCAAACCAAGATATCTTTCTTGTGAATAGTCCTTCAAATAAGCGGAAATTTTTGCCATTTCTGCTAAATTAGACACCTTGAGTATCCATTCTTCCATAGTAGGCAAAGAATCTTTCTTCCAATATTGCCTCACCAATAATCTTGCAGCTGTTATAAGATTCAACATCAAATTAATTTCTTTAACATCAAAATCTACAATAACACCTAACAAAAATAATTGTGGCGTAAACTTTATCTTTCTCTTAAAAATCTTTTGAATGTTCCACCAAATCTTAACCCAAAAAGCTTTTATATTTCTACAAGTCCACCAAATATGAAAATAAGTTACATCTAAGCTTCCCCCTCTCCAACATTTGGGCTGTAAATTAGGATACATAGAGGACAGCTTTTGAGGATCCAAGAAAGTGGGATTTTTGTGTCCTTTTCTTTTGCTTCATTGCGGCAAGCTGGGCAGAGGGAGAGAGGGGGGGAGGTGAAGTTTTTATCGTTTTTCTTTGTTGCGGGCAAGCCAGATGGAGAGAGGGAGAGAGGGTAGGTTGGGGGGAGTTTTATTTCTTTTCCTTCGTTGGGGCAAGCTGGACGGAGGGAGAGTGAGGGAAGAGCTTGACTGGGTGTAAAGTAATTTTTTAGTAGGGAAGAGTTAGAGAAGGGGTGTCAAACTGCCAGCCCATGGCCGGACACGTCATCTGGAAGCCGCACCCACCCCATTGCTGACAATGGTAAAACAGGCCCAATACATTGCGTGACATCACGTGATGTCATGAGTTTGACATGCCTGAGTTAGAGGGAGAGAGGGGGGAGGACTAGAGAGGTTTTTGGAGTATCAGTTGGAAAAGGCAAGGGGGACAGAGAAGGGGAGGATTACATGGAGTGAGGGCAGAGAGAGACAAGGAGAGTGGAGAAGGAAGGTCCCTGTGAGCTCCAGAGAAATTGACTACCATTGTCCATGCAAGCTGCTGTTACCAGGGGCTGACTACCATCATCTTACACAAGTTGCTGTTACCAGAGACTGATTACCATCGTCTTACACAAGCTGCTGTTACCAGGGGCTGACTACCATCGTCCACGCAAGCTGCTGTTACCAGGGATTGACTACCATCGTTGTATGCCAGCTGCTGTTACCAGGACTGACTACCATCGTCGTATCCAAGTTGCTGTTACCAGGGACTGACTACCATCAGTTAATTTAAGTTGGGTTCAAAAATCTCTAAGTCCCACTTTTGATATTAAGTCACAACTGGCTAAGTTCAGAAAATGTGCTACTGTAATGTACACTTACTATAATGGTAGCATAGCAAACTAAGCTAAACACCATACTGTAGATCATATGTAGATAATAGTTCATATTATTCTTCAAGATTTGCAGAGGCAGAGCTAAATGCAATCATATTTGTTTTGAGTATCTGTACTTGCTGGTCACTATTCTGATTTTCAATACTATACATGAGACCCTTCGGCAAGAACACCAGGATATTTTCTGTTAATTATTGGTCTTGTTAATTAATTGTAAACTTGTTAACTGCTAATAATTGGTTTTGTGGCACTCCAAGTTAACCAGTTAATGGTCAACAAGAAGTGACAAGAAAATAACTACTACTACATTCGTGCTGGAAGCACTTACCAAGACATTTCTGGGTTGAAAGGATTTGCGGTGACATCACCATTGCCCAGAGGATAACCAAAAAGCTCCTTTCAAGTCCCTGTTATTTTTTTCTATCAAGGTGGTACCTATTTATCTATTTGCATTTGCATACTTTCGAACTGCTAGGTTGGCAGGAGCTGGGACAAATTGATGGGAACTCATCCATTAAGCAGCCTCTGTTCATGTGTTTCGAACTGCCAAATTGCTGACCGCTCAATGGTCTTCTGACTCATGGTCCTAGCCATGGTCCTAGCCATGTGAGCCACTGTAGCTCCTAAGATAATAACTTACTGGTCGTTTACAATCTACCCCCTACTTTATAATCTGTATATACTACAGACACAATGCAAATATTCAGATGAAAGCAAGACGATAAAAAAAAACTCCAAAGTTTTTTAGGCAGAAAGGGAAGCATAGCTGAATCTGAGAAAATTAACTCCTTAGATATCTCAGGAGGGCAAAGAAGTGTGTTTGAGAATGTTTAGATATTTGAAGGTTAGTGTGAATATGGCAGGTTTATGGTTCAGAAATGTTTTACTGGCATCATCAAGGCAACCCTTAAATTTTGAGTCAGAGAGATTGGTGGTAAGTAAGATCCCAGGAGGAAATGGTTATATGGCAGCCACACCCTACTCTCATGGTACAATTATAGCCTTAAAAATTTAAAATTGAAATGCACAAATTCTCTTGGCCTGATTCACACTTGGCTTTAGTGGTATTCTGGAGGGGAATTCTGCAAAATAAACAGAGCTAAGAGAAGTACTTATAATTAAATATATTTAAACATTTACATTATCTTGTCAGTCTCCTTCAAATAAACAAAATGATGCCCCTATACATGGATACCAGCAGATGGAGTTTGCTGTATTATTGCTAAAAATAAAAGGATATAGCAACCCAATTACATGGCTAGGTGCTGATTGTGGAACAGATCACGAACTGTTCAAGGGGGAGGGGGAATATTGTACAGCAAAGTTTTCAAGATCTGAGATATATTAGAAGCTATTCCCTATTTACAAGAATCTCTAATACTACTGGTAGAAGATGTTAGATTAGCACATTGGTCATTACCAAGTCAGAAGGCTACAGGAATTGATACAATACCCACTGAAATATAGCAAGCAACAACAGAAGAAGAATCCATAAAATTTCTAACTAAGTAACACAGTGGCTAACCAATTGAAAGACTTAAATCAGTATTTCAATGCCATAAAAAGAGAGGCAACAGAGTATGCAAATTATTATACAACATCCTTAATTACACATCTATCAAAACAGTGTTTAGGATAATCCAATACAGATTAAAACTCTACATGGAAAAAGAGACACCGTATGTTCAAACTGGTTTTAGAAAAGACTAAGAAATGTGAAATATTGCTGATGTATGCTGGATCATTGAGAAAGCCAATGAATATTAAGAAAAGTCACTATATGCTTCAATTATTATAGAAAGGATTTTGATTGTGTTGCTCATGGCAAGCTGTGGAATGTACTCAGAAAAAAGCAACTTATTATGCTTGTAAAAAAAATTATACACAAGTCAGGAAGCTATAGTATAGAATACAGTGAAACATATTGGCTCTGTATTGGCAAAGAAGTATAGCAGTGGTTCTCAACCTTTTTAATGCCGCGACCCCCAGCCGGTCGTAAGTCAAGGACTACTCAACCGGTCGTAAATCAAGGACTACTCAACTGGTGCAGTACCATTTGCAGAATGGGATTTTTGGCGGGCTCAGCAGGGCAGAGACAGCCTGGACAATTCCTATTGGCTTTTGAAAGCCAATAGAATTAGACTCTATTCAAGAGAGCCAATTCTATTGGCTTTCAAAAGCCAATAGAAGAAAAGGGAGTAGCACAGCTAAGGAAAAGGGGGAAAAAAATGGCGGACTGCGTTGTTTGGCGACCCCCGTGAAATGGTCGTTCGACCCCAAATGGGGTCCCGACCCACAGGTTGAGAACCACTGAAGTATAGCAATGCTGTATTCTTTTCCCATCTTTATGCTGAATATGTATTGCGGAAAGCTGAATTTGAAGAAGATAAACATATTTTTAAAACTGAAGGAAAAAACATCAATAACTTGCTCTATGTTGATAATTGTAGCATGACAGCCATATACAAATAAATAAATAAAAGAAAGAAACCCTGCCCAAAGCAAGGGTTTCAGAACTAGGTATTAGGTACCATTAAAATCCAATTATCTTCTCTATACACATTTCAATTATTAATCAATATCTTTGATCACAGTCAAGCATTTCATGTTGACATAAGAATAAACATTAAATGTGAGTCAATACACTATCATAATCTCAGCCTGGAGGCACGGAATTTCTATCCTGGGCAACTGCCTGAAAAATAAATAAAAATATTTATTGGCTTTACTAGAACTACTGCAATAATAGATTCTACAGGGCATACTGGCAATAGTGTATTTCTAAAAATCATCCATTAATAATGCAATTTTTGGCTTTTCTAGGGTACAATATTCCCAGCTAAGAATAGTTTCTTCCATCTTCAGTTAGTTATTTTTTCTCCCCATTTGCCTTTCATCAGGCAAATGAGAAATGATTTCTCCTTTTCAACGTGCTAAATATTTCAACATTTTTATATAACTTCAGATTGCGCATCTGAATTCAAAGAATAAATAAAACAACAAGCCACAAGTCATATTGGAAAAAATAAACATGTAAATGATTCTCTTTCTACAAATACTTCGGCCAACTTTATGAGGACTCTGTATCATGAGGTAGAATTAGTCAGAACCTCGCATTCCCCTTTCCCACTTTTTGACCAGAGAGAAACAGTTCAAGGAAGATACCCTGGATTTGTCAGGCTGTGACTTTTGGTAGTGCAGAAGTTACTCTTTGACCGTCTGGCAGTACCCTGTAAAGCAAAATCAATAAGCTCCATTTACACTCATGTAAGATCAAAGCTGCAGCCAGGGGACGTTAACCATAAAAAGCAAGAAGTCAATGGGTCGAGAAAATTACATCTATGGCCAGTGTCCGGTGGGAAATACCCATGAGTAAAACAATTATTCCACGCTCTTTAAAAACGCTGTTTTAAAGATGCAATGAATCCTCCTTCGAAGAGCCGGAGATGGAACTGGAAATGTGCCCTCCTGGGCACGTCAGGTGCCCCTGCCAAAGCATCGCAGGAATACAACGAAGGCGCCTTTGGCGCAGAAGCAAAAGGCAGGAGGTGAGGGAAACTCGCTCCAGCCGGTCGCTAACAGGCCCGAGCAAGAGAAGGAGAGAAAAGCAGGCATCCGCTGGATGAGTCACTCCTTTCGGGGGGAAAAACCGGGGACGAATTCTCCGCGCGAGTCCCTCTCCTCCCTCGCGCTGAAGAAAAGTCCCGGGATCGCTATTGCTCCAAGCTTTTCCCAAACACTTGAGCCAAATGATCCATTGGCGCGCAAAACGACGCCCCGCTCTCCCCAAAACACCCTACCCCCCCCCCCGCCATCTCCCCGGCCTTACCCGGACTCCAGCGCGAAAACAGACCGAGCAACTCCTCACCTGGGCTACCCCAGGCAGCAACTTTTCCCGGCCTCGCCTCGGGTAGAGAGCCGCGAAGAAGGCTCCGCCCCCGGTATGATCTCAGCTTCGCCCCCGGCAGCTTGATCGCGATCGGGAAAGAAGCCACGGAGGTCGGGAGCTGTCGGAGGCGGAGAGGCTGGAGGACGGAGTCAGCGCGGCGGCGATGGCCGACCTTCTGAACTGTCTCTCAGCAGGCGATCCAGGCTCAAAATCTCTACTCCTCCCAGATGAGATTTTGGAGAAACTTGCCAAAGCAGGATCGGGTTGTCGTTTGAAACAAGTACAGGTACTCCTCGACTTATAACAGTTTGCTTAGTGACCATTGGAAGTTACAACAGCATTGAAAAAAGTGACTTATGACCATTTTTCACACTTATGACTGTTGCAGCATCCCTATGGTCATTTGATTTACATTCGGATGCTTGACAACTGGCTCACATTTATGATGGTTGCAGTGTCCCGGGGTCATGTGATCCCCTTTTGCAGCCTTCTGACAAGCAAAGTCAATGGGGAAACCAAATTTATTTAGCAACCGTGTTATTAAGAACTGCAGTGATTCATTTAACAACTGTGGCAAGAAAACTCATAAAATGGGACAAAACTCAACAAATTTCTCACTTAGCAACATAAATTTTGGGCTTAATTATGGTCGTAAGTTGAGGACCACCTATATGCTTTTTATCCCTCACTTTTGTCGACTGGATTGGGCAGATTTTAGTTGCTGGCAAAGAGCTGCTCCCATAAAATAAATACACCTAAGTCTTCAAATCTGTTTGCAAGGTTCAAGATGAAGACAATGCAATCAGGCGGGTGGTGGAAAATTGTTTCTGCCCCATAAGCATGGGGGCGTGGGAGGATGATGAGGCGTCAGATGTCATGGATGCAAAGTTTGAGAATAAATCTAAAGCTATGTAACCCTTCAAGTTGCTTTGCAATCATTCTTTCTTTTAATGTGCAGTAAAATGTTTTGTATCATCCAAACCAGTGGGGTTTCAAATTTCAGCCTGTGGAACCTGTTAGTTAACAATTTCCCAAAATCTTAAATTAGGAGGCAAAGTGATAGAAAATTGGCTGCATTTCTCTGATTATTATTTTTTTTCTTTTAATTTCTCATTGAGTCCATCAAGTTCTCACAAAACCCTGAGGACATTCCAGAACATGATGTCAAGAAGCCTTATCTATTTTTCAGGACAGGTTCTTGCTGTATAACAGGATTGAATTTATGCTGTTTACATCTCTTTAATACAAAACTTCATCAGCTGCTTAAAAATAAATAAAACTGTACTTTTACATTTTTTTAAACTTAACTATGGTTGCTCCAATAGTGAGTGTTCCTGATATTCATTCATAAATGGTTAACTCTTTAATCCTAGGCAAATTTACCTGGGAGACAGTCCTGGAAAAAAAAAGTGGTAGAACAAAAGAGAAGTGTTATTTATTTTTGGCCAATTTCCAAATTGGATGTAGAGTAGCAGAACAATCCAGAATAGCAACCCACAGAGCACAAGACAGATAGTGTGACAAAGTATCCTCCCATTTGGAGCTTAAAAGGATTACTCTAAATAGTGAGAAACATCTCAAATTTCATTAGAAATTTATTCATCCAACAATACAAGACAATACACCTAGCCAGGTTTAATATGGTTTGTTTAATTTTGGCTTAGCATCACAGCCTCTGCAGCTTGTAAGTAGTGGTTCATGACTTGTTTATTCAGTGACCAATTGATGGTCCTTCAGGGGCCTGAATTACTTGCTTCTGATAGTCATTCTTTAGCACTGAAGTTGTTTCAAATGTGATGCAAAGAAGTTTTTTTTGCCTATGCTCTCAGCCAAACCATCTTAGATCCTGGAGATTCTAGGAAAGATATTCTCTCAAGTGACCACTTCGTGCATAAAGGAAATAATCAGCTTACTAGTTGCTACTACCCCTCCAGCCCATTCTCAAAACATGCATTCGAATGTTTATGAGAAAAATCTCAATATTATCATAGGATAAAGCTGTCAGGATATCATGTTATTCCACCTATAATAACTATTGAAAATTTGGTATATTATATCATTAATTTTTCCCAAAGTCTCTTAATTATAACTTAGGACAGACCATGCAATGGGTCACATATTTATCTGATAATTATTGTGCTAGTTAGACATAGCCAATTGCATCTGATACATATTATGTCATTTTTACAAATATAATTTATGCATTCAATTTTTTAGTACCTATTAGACTGAAGGCATCAAACATGACTGACAACTTATGATGATGATAAAATTATTAATATGATTTTTTAAAAAATCCAACAATGTGATGTAGTTAATTAAGATTTATTTAACTAAGATGACACTAATAGACAACTAGCTGGCCAGCCATTTGAATGGCAAATGTACAGGTTTTAAGTTCAATGCTTGGCATTTCCACTTACAGAAATTATAGGCAATATTTTGGTCTACAAGGAGAAAGCCTCGGAAATGAAAGTGGCCTAATTTTACCAGAATTGGGTCACTAATAAAGGAAAATTAATGTCAGACCCCCAAACCTCTCGCCTATTTTCTTTTGTCTTCTATTCTTTTGGGGCCTGCCATTCTGTTGGGGGGAGGGGGTGCATGGGGGATTATGTTGGTAACTTTTGCTTTCCTCTTTCTTTGTCTAGCCTCCTCCTTTGAGTGTGGAATGCATCTAGGAGACAGTTGCAAGGAAACGAAAGCTGGAGAAGATCTTGAGATGCGTGCCTACTGTACCAGTCAGCCAGCCATCAAGCCACCTGTGGATTGGCTGGAGTTCAAATGGACATTATGACTTTGGTGGGATTTTATTGATACCAATAACATAACTTTCCATTCATTTATTGGTTTTTCATGTAACATTTACATGCTTTTTGCATGAAAAACTGACAAGCTCTAATATCAGATTAAACAACAAGTTTCCATCTTTTTTGTAATATATTTTATTGATTTTTTTAAAACATAAATCACTTAATAATTGGTGAACAGTGTGTTGTCTGGGTTTACATTTATAAAACAATCACTAACAATTGATTTCCATAATCCATAATCCACAATAATTCATAACAGTTTTAGTTGATTTCTTCTTTTCCCACAATATCCTCTTTTGCAAACATTGAATTAATACAATTCTTATTGTTTTGATAGATAACAATTAAATATATTTTTTCAGTATTCCTGAAAATAATAGTCAGATCAATATAAAATTTCTGTTCTATCCAATCTGGTTGCCTTATCATAGATCCTGTTACAGTCCTTATTTTAATTTGTTTCTCCCACCAACTTCTAGGTATTCTTACTGGTTAAGATTTTCTCAAAAACTAATTACATTTAAAAATTTGACTCTATTTTTTCTATATGAACCATCTCACATTTTTACATTTCCTAAGGGATAGATAAAACAGTGAAAAAAAGAAAGGAGAGCAAGAGTAAAGAAACATAAAAAATAACATACTACTTAAAATATATATCCCTCCTAAGCTAATATATATTTGTTTCCAAGATTACTTGGAAACAAAGAAATAATTAAAAATATGTTTAATCTTTAAATATTCCAATTAATACATCTAATCATCTAATCCTTTAATTCTTATTCAAAACATTTTTAATCCATTATAATTTTCTTAAATTCAATCACATTTAAATATCTAAAACATTTCCTTTATCTAAGTCATTTCAACTTTTTTATATTACTCATATCAAGAAAGAGAATAAAAAGGGGGAAAAACATATTATATTATTTAGGATGACATATATATTCCAAATCTTTTCTATTTCTTTAACCATATTCAAACAAATGTTTTTTTAAGTGTTCTCTCTGGTAAGTCCCAGCATCTATTTTCTTGGTTTCCAGTTTAATCTTTTTCCTTTGCCCAATATCTTTCATAGTCAATGTGTTTTGCTGAATCAAAAGGTTTTTCTGTATGTTCGTAAATATTATTGTAGATATAAAAAGTAAATCAGGTGAAGTGTCTTTGTATAGGGCTTCTGCCTTTCCATATTTGTTGACGATCTTTTTTTTTCTCTCCACTTCTCTTATCATTTCCTTTCTCTCCGATGTTCCTGACATCTCTACAGTTCATTTTATCCAATCTGTTTTCTTGTTCTCAGATTTATTTTGTAGTCTTACAGGATAACTTGTTTTTTCTAATTCTTGTAAACTTTTTTCCACTAGAATTAAATCATGTTTCCTTGTTTTGTTAAGTTCCATCTTTAAGTCTCTATTCCAATTCTATATCCATTTATCTGTTTTATCTGCTCCTTCTCTGTTGTTGTTTTCTGGGAATCTTTTTGTTGTAGAGTTAATTTGGAAATAGATTGATTTATATTTTCAAAGTTATTTTGGATTTCTTTGTGGTTTAAAGTCATTGTTGTTTGAATTAGTTGCAGTATATTATATGTCTCCTCCTGTAAAGTATTTATGTTTTCTTGATATGTTCTTTCTACATGTCTCTGATCCATGATGACCAAGAATTTGAGTTTTTCTTTTCCTTTCTTTTCTCTGTAAATAGCTTTAGACTCCCAATTAAATAGATATTTGTAATCCAAATAGTTAAAAAAAGATTTTTTCCTGAAATTTATAATTCTCTCTTTGTCTACAGCCCAGATTATTGTCTTTCTTTTTTATCACAGCTGTTCTTTATTGTTAAAGCTTTGAAGGTCACAGACACAGATTAGCTTTTCCCAGGTTTTGCCAAGTCTTATATTAAAGTCATAGCTATCATAGTCTTCATCCACCACTAGGTGTCAGCATCATTTCACTTCCATGTATTTTGATCCTCCATAAAAAGATTAATTGGCTGCTTCCGTTAGTATAAGGGTGGGGTGAAAATCCCCCTCTTTCCCTTTCAGAGGTATTTTGCTTCTTGGGGATCTTTTCCAGGAAATTACATATAAAATAGAAAAGAGAAAATCAGATTCCTCACCCAATTTCAAGCATGCTGTTCGCACTTGTGCTGGTTAGTGTTTTTGGACTTTGGTTGCTAGTAGCTTGGGCTGGTCAATGCAAAACAGCCAGCCTTTCTCCTGTCGGGTTAGAAGGCTTTCCTCAAGTCAAACAGAATGGCTGCCACCATTCCAGAATCGCTGGAGCACCTTATTTCTTTGCCACCTCTACAGGCTGACTTAGACCCATTTAGGGTCCCCTGGCAGGGTGAAATTAGCCATGGGGGTGCAGAGAATCCGCAAGCCCGCAACTGGTCACTACTTCGCAAAACCGGAAGTCCACAAGTTTCCATCTTTCTTCAGTATCTAAACTGTGCTTTTTGGCATTTCTCTTGTGAACTGCAGTAGGATCATCCCTGGGAAGATTCCAGTAGTAATTGGCAAGCATGGACGGACTCCATTTCTCTTGGTATCTTTTCTCCATGCCTGCAATATCCTGGTGGAATCTCTCCCCATGCTCATCATTCACTGCCTCACAGTTCAAAGGGAAATAATTTAATTGCGAGTGTAAGAAATGAATTTTCAGTGACATGTTTGCACCAAGTGCTTTATCGGGCCTAAGCAAATTTTCCAGGTGTTTTTCATAATCAACTGCCTTGCTGTTCCCGAGAAACTCCGTTGCCATGGACTTGAAGGCTTCCCATGCCTTCTTTTCCTTGCTGCGTAACAGATGCTCAAACTTGTCATCCTAAAATTCTCAAATCTGTGGACCGACAAAGATGCCTTCATTGATTTTGGCTTCACTAAGTCTTGGAAACTTTTCTTAGAGATATTGGAAATCTAGTTTTGTTTTGTCCATAGCCTTTACAAAGTTCTTCATCAGCCCCAGCTTTATATGCAATGATAGTAACAAAATTTTCTGAGAGTCAACAAGAACTGGATTTTGAACATTTTTCTTTCCTGGCTCCCAGGACTGTTGTGATGGTCATTCTTTCTTGATATAATGAGAATCTCTGGCTTGACTGTCCCATTCACACAGGAAACAGCAATACTTCATGTATTCACCCTGCAGGCCAAGTAATAGGGCAACAACTTTCAAATCACCACAGAGCTTCCACTGATGTTCCTCATATTTTATACACCTCAGCAGCTGTTTCAAATTTTTGTGTTTCTTTCATGTGGACTGCATGACTGACAGGAACTGATGTCAAAACATTGCCATTGTGCAATAAAACAGCTTTTAGGCTCGTTTTAGATGAATCTATAAACAATCTCCATTCATCTAGATTGTGGGTAATCTTGAGGACTGTCATTAAGCCATTGATATTATTGCAATAAACCAAATCACCTGACATCACTCTGCAAGAGGTTCCACTGTTGTAATCTGAAGCTCTGTAGCTCTGCCTTACTCTTAGGCAATTCCAAATCCCTGACCAGGTCATTTATTTCACTCGGTGAAATTAGATGTGGTTCAGGAGGAGCATACGGTGGGCTAAAGTTTGGGTCCGCTGACATCAACAGCCCTGGATCAGCTGCATCCTGATAATTGTCTTTATCATCATCTGAGTCTAAAGAGTAAGATTCTGATGGATGTGGAATTGGCAAGTCCTTGCTATGGAATACAAGATGCAATGCAGATGGAATGTTTGGATATTCCACAGTCCACTTCTTCTTTCTTGAGAACCCTTTTGCAGTTGGGGGAACCATGCAAAAATAGCAGTTTCTACTATGGTGGGTTCCCTCCACACAATTGGGACTGCGAAAGGCATGGATTTTTTTTTTCTTGTTTAGCTAATGACACAGATAAGTTGCACATTAATGCAACAATAATGAGGGGCCTAACTCTTGTCCTGATCCTCTATTTTGCATCCAAAATATGCCCTTTTGGCATCATACTACACTGCCGTCATACTACACTTTTGAGATGCAAATATAACCTTGCCGCAAATGTAGCAGAAGTTATCTGCATTGTTTACATGATTTTGAGGCCTCTTGATTTCTGAGGGAAAATATCACCCAACTGTTCCTTGGAAATGTTAGACAATGATATTTTTACAAGCCACCAGATGTAACTGTATGATGCGTAGATCTGACCAAGACAAATGTACCTTGCAATAAACAAACAATAAATTACAGTTAGGTAATCATCTTTTGTCTCAAAGTGAAGGTAAATTTATAAACTTCCATGTGGTACCATTTTTATTGTTCTAACGTACTTTGTTGAGAAGTTACAAGGGATCATGATCATTAGACACCTCCCTCCCTTGTAGACAAATATACTCGCCTGTGAATAAATATTTATTGTGAAATATCTTGAAAACTTTAGCCAACCAGCACCTTTATCACCTGTTTTCTAATTCATCTAAACAAAATATGTAAGAATTAACACATTTTATCTCAGAGGTCAATAATTTCCCAAAATTTGTAGACCAGTATACAACTACTAAGATCAAACTACTCAGTTGGGCAAATGAAACAGTGCCATAAAGGTTGACAAATTGAAAATACTTGGAGTAGCCACTTCACTGAGTCTAAGATTACAGTTTTTTGGAACAAGCTTTGAAATATCAGTGAGATGGATGCCAAATAAATTTAATAAATAAATAAAAATTTTCAGTTTGAGTGAGACAAAATTTGAAGGAATCTCAAGAGTGATTTTATTTGAGAAACAGGGTAAAGCTTGAGTATATTGTCTCTCTTCTTTTATCAGTTCCCAGGATAGCAGCTCACCCAACCTCCAGTCTTCTCAGTGCTGTCTTTTCCCTTCAGCTAGCATTGGTATCCTTGGCTTATTCCTAATCTCATCCCCCCCAGCAAAACTATCTCTTCCCTGTGTGGAACAAAGCACTCTCATTTATTTCTGTATAGAGCAAAATAAAAGGAATGACTACTCAAATCAGCTGTTCTGTGCACAGTAATTTTTGCACATCTCTAATATTTTCTGTCCCAGATGTCAGAGATAGGGTCCAGAGTGATTTGCAGCAGGCATTAATTTGGATAGGTTCAAATGATCGCTAGTATGTATATCTGATTATGTCCTTCTA